AGATGTAGTTGAAAGCGATACTTCAAATAAAATCATATAAACGAAAAGAATATGGAGTATTCACTGGAGTATTTTACCGGTAGATGGCAATACGATCGCTTTGGCCGCCATTTTGAAAGTTGTACCACAGGAAACCCACATTTACTACTTGGAATATAAACTTCTTTGTTCTTGTGGGAGGGGACCCATCGAAATGTTTGACACAAGACTGTCGATCACGAGCCCAGAGTCCCCCAATGGCTCTTAGACAGCGGACTATCGCTTGAGAGTGCACTAGTGCAAAATGACGTAGCACTGATTCACATAGGAATCCCGACTGGTTTCCAGATAAATTCTTGTTCACACAGGAAACCCGAAATCTATTTTCAGCCAATCAGAATCGAGCTTTGGTTTGTACGAGGGAGGGGTAGGACCTAACCAGAAACTAGTCGGAAACCAGTAGAAACCAGTGATTACCCTACCCTAGTAAGGCTATGCTGTCTTCATAGCAAAGGCCTCGTGCCATTCAGTTTAGCAAAGATTTTGAAATAATTGGCCCCTAAAACAACACTAACTGAGCAAATGGAAAAAAGATCGAGGCCAGAAATACTACCAGCACTGTTTAGATCTGTTGCTCTTGTGTCGGAATGTGGATAAACCTCTCGTGAAACTGTTCAAAGGAAATTCCTGTAGTATACATTGAATTCGCCAAACAGATTCGGATTCATGCATGTGAACATTCTTCGTGCTTGGTATGTATTGAAAATAATTTCTTTTGATTTAAAAAGAATGAAAACGCTTGAACCGAATAAGTTCATATTAAACACAGTTAAGAATTGATAATTTAAATTCGAAATACAATTTTCTGGAATTCGGTTGCTAGCGTCATCTACCGCGGCGCATTGCCGTCCCTTGTGTATGTTAACAAGTTGGCTGAATCGGCTTAACTAGTTCATTAGTTTATTAGAATCATTTTGCCGACAGAAAAAAAAACAACATTTCACATTTATTTAAACATTTGGTTTTTTTCAGGCCGATGTTATAAATATTCATGTTTTAATTAATTAGCATATGTCAATACAACATTTTTTTAGTTGGAAACTAGTCTGTAAAAATGCTAGATCCGCCTCGGAAAAGTACGTCCACACCGCAACACCGCAAAAAAAAAAACTGTGTAACACCGTCACCGCAATTTTCAAAGAGTCACGTGATGTACAAAATTTTGAATAAAAAATTAAATTTAGGTACATGACCTTTAAAGGCAATTTTAGATAATTTTAGATAAATAGATACGTATCTTCGGTTTGTCGTTCGTTTGATACTGACACATTGTTTAAATCATAATCATTACTAGTCAGCATACGTTTTAAAAGAATAACGAACTTATGTACCTTGTGTCTTCAAGATAAATATCGGTTGTTGAACCGAACAGCTCTCCCAAACCGCGATGTTCTACCAATTAGAAACGTTGTCGAACTATTATCTAAGCAGACATTTTTGCTGAATGACCTGAATTGAAAATCAACAAATTCGCAACACCGCAATTTTTCCCGTAACACCGGATATCGCATGTAAAATAAGGTAAACACCGCACATCGCAGGATTTTACAACACCGCATCACCGCAACTTTTTAGCTTCGTTCATCGCAACACCGCACAAAAAAAAGGCCAACATCGCAACACCGCAAACCCCCATGTCCCCCTCCTTATTAGACAACAGATTCATTTGAGTAGAGATCAAAGGAAAGCACGAAAAAATGTTGACATTACAATAGCTCTAGAAATTTGAATCTTTTTGAATCGTTTTCTCCGATTTGAGCACCTGTGGCTATACAAATCGTAGAAAACGCAAATTTGTGGTACTATTGTATAAAGGACAAAAGTTTTTCGTGTTTTCTTTTGTTTTTTTGGTAAGATGTCTGCACATGAGAGACTGTTTTCAACTCAAACAGACGTTGTTTGCTTTGAATGGGAAACTAGACGATCATGGATCGCTTACGTGGGCTTCCTGTGACAATGGTGTTTCAATTTCACAAGATAGTCTTTGTTTGTAATAAGTCAAGACAGAATTAAGTTAATATGTTATCAATTTATTACATCATAATTTTTTACCGAACTGAACTCTAAGTAAATTCTTTGGATACCATGTCTTTTTTCTCAGTTTTCCAAAATAACTAGCTCGACTTTACGCTCAAGAGCGTCTATATTAGTCAAAATATCTGATAGGTCATATAGGTCACATAAACAATAGAAACGGTACAGTCTTGGCAGTATAACTTTGAATAATATTTTGATCATTTGAATCATGTATCTGTATCTTGTGTTTCTGTTCTTTTTTTATTTGGTGTTTTTCATTAATTTGTAAATCTGGTGAGGTGTACCTTAGCCTTCTAATGACAGTTCATATTTTTGGATTTGTCTAAGTTTTTCAAGTTAAACAATCATCAAAACAAACAATAGAGAATTAAAATGCTTCATACACACTATAGATTTTGTATACAGAGTTCAGTAAAGCTCACACGTGCAGTTTTCCGAACTTCAAACACATCGTTAGTTTAGAAAATGGCATCAATATTTTTCAGATGAGGTTTGATATGCTTTATTCCATCGAATGATTGTTTTCTGTCAAAGTATGAACCTTAAATATCCATGTGATTTCTTATTTTTGAAGATTTTGTGTTTGACATCGAACACTTGTGTGACGAAGAAGTAAGCTTAAGTGCTCTTCGAGTCGGCGGTAGAAAATGCCCAGTCATTTCTGCACGAATCATCMGCTAATCTTGAATTATATACCTCAATCCATGTCGTTTGGATGGTAACCAATTGATTTTGTAAGATTTTCAACTCTTTAGAGCATTTTAGCTACATTTTAGAACCATTTGAAACGAGACAACTTTTTGCCGCCGTCTGTCAGCCATTTTGTTTTCATTCTGAGACTGCAGTCCATCTGCAACGCAGGCGCTACCAAAAATCGCTGATTGGTTTATTTTGACATCTCCATGGAAACTGAGACTGTAACGCATGCGCTATCGATGCGCTACCAATTTGAAGCGTAATATTCACGACGAAATCGCCAGTTGCATTTTAAGACGTGTGCTTCCACAGGAAGTCCACGTAAAAAGGTGTACTATTCACAGGTATCTATCACTGTACGCTCAAAGATCTAATTTCGATGCAAAAACAAGGCTACCTTTCAAAATGGCACTGTGAACCGTAAACTATTTTATAGTAGAGAATCTTAGTAGACAAAATTGAAATTTCAA